CGAAAGTTTCTGTGATGACTGCCCTTGCACTGTTCACCATGTAAGAACTTGTTCGTTATGCTTCAGAAGATTGGAGACTGTTGAGAACTAGGCTGGGGGTTGATTAATGATTGTGCATTGAGTCCCCTATACAGAATTTTATTGTTGTTAACAACCATTTGATCAATAAATATGAGAGATGCCCTCTCAAAAAAAAAGAATTACATATAATGTGATCTAGAACCCCTAAATTTTACAATTGAAATAAGAGTTTCCAACATATCGTTTCTGTAACTTTCAAGCCAATGTTTTTGTTTGCTTTACAACAAAGGACAACAAAAATGTTATCGAAATAAACCAAATTTTTCTCTACAATAAAAAAAATACAATTAGTTAATATACAGATGCAACATAACCAAAGTTTGGTATATCAGTTAAATCAAAAAGACAGTCAGGGTGAAGAGCACAAAGTAAAATGAAAAATTTTTATTAACTTACATTCTACAAATTATCTGGGACTATTCAAATCTTTTTATTAATACCTTGTCAAGCCTTCTATCTTAGAAATAAATGGTTTGACATGGGAGAAAAAAATGTATAAATACAGGCAATGATTTCAAAATGCAGACATAAATAAGTAAATAAAGGAGAATCTCCTTTCCTAAAATAGGCAGAAAGTGAAATACAAAATCCATGAAAGCATGTATCTCAGTAATACATCTGAAATCAGCTTTGTGATATATGAATTTAAAGCTTGGAAGCAAATTTCTTTAGATAGCCATCCTAGATTTATGAATGGCTTATGTTCAAAATATCTGTAAGCTGTTTGTTTTTTAAGTTAGGAAGCACTTACTGAAGAAATAGAATCATAAGTGGTGATTAGTTTTTCAGACCAGTTCATAAAGTTTGTTCAATCAGTAACGTATCTGGAACCTAAATACCACACATAACAATGTGCTTCTCTGATCTAAGTTCAGAGTTCATGGCATGCCAAGAAAAATAACTCCTTCCTGATTGCAGTCCTTGAAGAGGGATACTGGATGTACAATACATTGCTCTATAGACCCCTTGTCACCAACCCTGCAATTACCTGTTCCTTCTGACCTAGGTTTCTTTACAGCTCAGCACTACTGTGGAGTAAAATGCAGAGTAACAGCTTCCTCTACTTCTGACAAGAAATATGGCATCTAGGCCGGTCACTTAACCTATCTAAGCATCAATTTCTCATTTTAAAAAGTACTACCTATTATAAGTAGGATGGCTGTTCTGAAAATCAAGATAATGTGCAGATGACATCTTTCACTGCACTAGATGACAGGTCTGGCACATAATAGACACTTCTCAGTTTCATACCCATACCCAAGGATACGCCCCTGTAACCATATCCTTTCCACTTTGCAATGCTGTTACTCAGTCCTCATGTAACACATTTAATCAAAATACTTAATTCTTCTTTTCTGATTAAGGGAGTGACTAGGGCAAGATAAAATGAAACAGGAAGTGAAAGAGCAGTTTGACTTTTCATTTCTTTAAGATTTTATCTAATTTATCTGTAGTTTCAAATGGGGAACAAAACAGAGTTTAAAAACAACAGCAACAAAAATAAAACAAGGGCAAGAGAAAGAAGCCAGATAACATCTCGGTTCCGTGCGTGCGAGTCAGTCTTCATGATGTGGTTTCATTGTTTTATAAAAAGTACAAAAATTTCTTGGTGACAAATATAAACCTTAAGATAATTTGGCTTTTCCCTTCAACTAGCAAGAGTAATAAAGTCGAGTTATCAATTTTGAAATTCTTGTATTTCCTCTTTATACTAGTTGGTAGAAATTGACAGAGCTTTACTTAGGAAAATCCATTATAATAACATAGATTTATATTGATGAATATATTACAAGGTGACTTTTTTCTATATCAAATTGTGTTTCTTTTTAATTACAAGCTTTCTTCTTTTTCAAAATATATTTGATTTACAAGATTTTAATTTACACACACTTCTAGGAATATACCCATTACATAAAAAGCATTAGGCATACAGTTGAGTGTTTCTTAGATTTTATTCTATGGAATCTACAAGTTCCAATGTCAACAGTTTTGGGGTGTTAGTTTTTATAAGCTTCTCACAGGCTTTAATTTGTTAGTTTGTATTGTGTTCCTCTAAGAAAGCTGTATTACACAGTTCCCATATGTATTTGCCCATGAGCACTTTATTAAAGGAGAATCTAGTTACCTTACAGAACACTGAAAATGACTGACGAATCACTGCTAGCATTTATGTTTCTCTTGTGAATTTTATTTCTTTCCAAACTTTTCAGATGATTTGGTTGAAAGAATGGGACCTTTCATCATCAATTCCATTACTCACACACACCAACAGTATTCTGTGTCTTTGGGCACTTTAACTGTAATCATGCCTGAACAGAGAGCACAGCAGAAAGAGCACAGCCTGTCCTGTGCTCTTAAAAGTCTGGCTCATCCACTTGCTACTACATGATCCAGCATGTTACATTCTCTAAGCTATATTTTACTCATCAGTAAAATGAAAATGATAATAAAATGAGGAACTTTTGAAGGTCACAGAGCTAGCCAGTGGTAGAATTAGAATATGAATCCATGGCTGATGGCTCCACAGCCCCACTATTAACCACTTCATTGTAATACTTTCTTTTAATTATACTCACAGAGAATAAGAATAAGAAGCACTTTAAAAGTGTTTATTTATTTATATCTTACAGTGAAAAGAACACCTAAGAGTAGACCTAACCTTTTAACAGATTTTTAAGTGTATAATATGGTATTGTATTGTCAACACTCTGTAAAAGAAGCCAGAAGATAGTGGAATTATATCTTTAATATACAAAAGAAAAATATTTAAACTGCCTAACTTCTATATCCTGTAAAAATATCTTTCAAGAATTAAGCAAAATAAAGTCATCTCCTAACAAACACAAAGTAAGACACCAGCTGAACATACTAAAAGAAATTCAAAAGATTATACTTCAAGGCATTAGGAAAATGATCCCAGATGTAAGGTACAAAAGTCAAGTAGTGCGTAGAAACATGTGGGTAAATCTACATTAAATGTATAAAACATTTTGTGAAATTTAAAAATCAAATAGAATTATATATAACAATAGCACATAGGTGAGAGTAATGGGTTTTAACTATTCTAAAGTTCTTGCAATGTCTGAGAAAAAGGTAAAACTATTTTAATTTTAGACTTTAATAAGTATGATTAGTGAAATTTCTAGAGGTAATTTCTAAAAGATGAGAAAAGCAATTATAATTTTCATCAGAACAAGGAAAAACTGAAATAATAAACTATCAATCCTTAAAAACGTAAGAGAGAACAGAAAAACCACCATGGACCATGTAAGACAAATAGAAAACACAGGATATGATGGTACATTTAAACCCAAATATTTAATATATGATTTGGGTTAGAAACTATTTAAAACACAAAAATATTATCAAGTTGGATAAACACTAAAGTCCAATATATAATCCCATTTGGAGGCATAGCTACTATAAAAATAAGTACAGTTTGAGGTTAAAGAGTAGAAGAAAATACACAATTTAAAAACTGCATCAAATAGTAAATGCTCAAATTCATAAAGCAAAATAGACATAACTGTGAGGTCTAGAAAAATCTACAATCATAGCAGATTTTATCACACCTCTCACAGTAATATACAACATGCAGATTATAGTATTTGTAACATAGCATATATAGAACACACCATTGAATTAAAAAAATGGACAAACCTACCACAAGACTGATGATAAAAAAACAGAGAAAGTACAAAAAGCTAGTATCAGGAATGGAAAGGAGGTACAAATAGCTAGAAATCCAATAAAGTTACCATGAAGAAGTTAATGCTTTTAAACTTCATATTTTAGATGAAACAGATGCATATGTATAAAAATATAACTTACGCAGTACAGCACAGAGAAGACAAGTAGTGAGTCTATAGCATCTTACTATGCTGATGGACAGTGACTGCAATGGGGTGTGTGTGGGGGACTTGATAATATAGGTAAATGTAGTAACAACACTGTTGCTCATGTGAAACCTTCATAAGACTGTATATCATGATACCTTAAAATATATATATATATGTATAAAACGTACTAAAACTAACTCAAGAAACAGTAAACCTGAAGAATGCTGTAACTGTTAAAAATAATTGAGTAAGAGATAAATACATAGTGATACAATCATATAATAAAATACTATCAGCAGTAAAATGCATACATCCATCACTAAGAAGACGTGATGTAATTCTATCCATTAAAAGTTCAAGCCAAGAAAAATTAAATTATACTACTTAGGGAAGGACACATATGTGGTAAAATCATAAAGATACACAAGGAAGTGAATACCATAAAAATGGGGACTTGTTTACTCCTGGAATAATTTGAGGGAAGTAGTGTTGGCAATGTTATTTCTGACATCAAAGTGGTTTTCCATATAGTCACCTCATAATTACTTGTTAAACTATACATTTACATTTTATGAACTTTACTTTTAATGTAATTTTTAGTGTGGAGCTTAAAAAATATTGTTGTAAAATTAACCATGTTATCAGTACAAAGCCATCCATCTTACAACATAAGTAAGGTAGCATATAATTTCATATATTCTGCTATGGAAAACAAGAGTAAATAACTCAAATCATATTTCCCAACTACTTTACCAATACCACTCTGTATTTTTTATCACAAGTAAAATAATCTGGGACAGTGGAAAGTGCTCATGCTAAGCTTTACAAACCTTTCTACTCACTTAACTCCCTACTTCATCTCACTATGTTTTTCTTTTGCATAAACTACAACTCCCAATATCATCCAGAGAGAAAAGGGTTAAGGTGAATTTGGCCCTATCTTCTCTCATATCCTCTTCTTCTTACCAACAGAAGGGTTGGCTTCCTCAATTTTAAATTTAAAAATAACACAGGCTTTCATTGCCAAGTGGAAGGGTGGTGAAGTCATCATTTTCAAGTAAAAGACAAGGATTCAGAATACATAAAACTTATGTTCTCACTAAGCTGGCCTCACAAACAACTCTCTGGCTAATAGCATGGATGGAGGAAAACAAACCTGTCTTTTGGGGAAAAGCCTGGACATATTTGAAAGAACTCACAGAATCATTCATGTCTACATTATTTAAACCAATATCCACTTTAGGGGAACATACTAAAATTAGAAATTATTATGTTGCTACATATCTATCGACATAACATACAATAAGTAAAATATAGGCTGTACTTACCATTTCCGTTAATAGACAGATTATGGGTCTTGAAGCTATCCTCAGCACTTTCCAAGGTCAGTGTAGTATGAGCTAGCAAATTATACTTTGTACCACTAATAGTGAGAAAGAAGACATGTTTTAAGTATTTTAGTGTATTTTCTATTATGTTCAACAACCAAAAAAACCTGATTAAAAAATAGGCAAATATCTTGCATAGATATTTCTCCAAAAATGATACAAAAAGCAATGAAAACATGCAAAAATGCTCAAGATAACTAATAATTAGGAAAAAGCAAATCAAAACCACAATGAGATACCATTTCACACCCATTAGGATGGTTATTAATTTAAAAAAAATTAAGTAACAAGTGTTGGCCAGGATATGAACTGGAACCTTTGTGTATTGCCGACAGGAATGTTAAATGGTGTAACCATTATAGAAAACAGTATGATGGCTCCTCAAAAAAAATTTGAAACAGAATTACAATATGATTCAGCAATTCCACTTCTGGGTATATACCCAAGAGAATTGAAAGTGGGGCTCAAATATGTTAAAGTAGATTTATTCGTAACAGCCAATAGTGGAAAAAGCCCAAGTGTCCATTCAAAGATGAATGGATAAACAAAATGTGGTACAGACATACAATGGAATATTGTTTAGTCCTAAAAAGGAAGGAAATTCTAACACATTCACTACATAGATGAATTGAAAAACATGATGCTAAATGAAATAAACCAGCCACAAAGGACAAATAACTACACAGTCCCACTAATATGAAGTACCTTAGAGTAGGCCAATGAATAGAAACAGAAGTAGAATTGGAGGCTGCCAGTGACTGGTGGAGGAGAGAAACAGGGCATTATTGTTTAATGGGTATAGTTTAAGAGGATAAAATGTTCTGGAGATGGATGTGGTGAATGCACTTAATGTCATTGAACTGTATGTATACTTAAAGGGGTTTAAAATGGTAAATTTTTATCCATGTTATGTATATTTTACCACAGTATGAAAATGAAGAAAAACCCCCCACATTTAGATGTTACAGATGACAGATTATAGTCAACATGAATGAATAATAAACTTAGCATATTTATCTCTTTATGCTATTTTATCTTAAGAAAATCTGAAAATTAGTTTAAGTCACGAATGTTTTTATGAAGGATCTCCATTCATTCAAAACTGTTAACTGAACACATAATACATGCCAAGTCCTATGCCAGGTGATGGGAATTAATGGCAAATGAGACTCACTATAATATTCTGATGCAGGAAGGAGGAAAAAAAAAGAGTAAGCAGAGGACTAAATCAAATATTTGGCATTTGTTAAGTCATAATACCACTTTTTCTATGAAGCAAAAGGGATAAGAAAACTGAGGACCTATGTTATGTAGGAGTCAGGAAAGGACGCTCCGAAGAGGCAATAGTTACATGTTCATAAAAGGATAGAGCCAAACAAAGAATGCAGGGGAACATTTCCAGCAGAGAGAACAGTATGTGCACAGAGAGGGCTGCATGAAGACCAGTATGGCAGAGAGAGTGAGCAAGAAACATAGTACAACATAAAGTTGGAAATACAGGCAGGGATTAGATCACCTACAACTTTGTGAGCATTGGAAGAAGGGTGGATTTAATTTCAAGTGTAATGGAAAGTTTTACACTTTCCATTCAGTGTTCCATTCAAAAAAAAGGTTTTTGAATAAAAAGGATAGTGATGGGATTTGATTCCCTAGGGGTAAGAACCAATCTTCTTCTGGTTTGCAAACTTAAATGACTTGGGGGTTTTTATCTATACTATGGGAAAATGGAGGACCTCATTACTAATTCCATGTTTCATTATAGTCCCCTTTATTAGTGTTAAAATAGCAGTCTTGCTAATGTATCTAAAAATTTTAATGATAAACTTCATATCCTGATACTTTGTGGTGATAAAAAGTGCATTTTTCTTTAATAATAATTGTATTTTCTGTGCTAGTAACCTTAATCATATTTCAAGACTTTTCTTGGTTTTATTATTTTCCAAAGTAGTAAAATCTTAACATTGAAACATCAAAGGGCATGTTAAAAATAGGAGATAGGCAGAAACATGGACAAACTCTGGAAAGAGGAAGTCTGATGGGAATTCATATTAATTGTGGTATGTTTCAGAAATCTTTATTTCTTACAAATCTTTAATATTACAAAGAAAAAATATGTATACATGTAATGAGTATGCAATGCACACATGCACTTCTTTAATAAATAATGGCATACCCCAAAGATGAAATTGCTCACTTAAACAACACCTTTTTTTTTTCCAGTTTGAGAAATAGCTGACACTCAATATTGTATGAATTTACAGTATGCAGCATAATGGTTTGTTTTATCTTGGTTTTTAATATAAAATCATCATAGGTTAGAGATACCTCTCAATACCCAGTGTTGTTTTGGTCGGTGATTACATAGGAAATGTTACGTTTCTATCTCTAAAACTCAACAAAATACTTTTAACAAATCGATGCATGAGTAAAAAATAAAAATTTATGTTATATTCTGAATATAACTGGTACAATATCAGACTCATATACAGACTTTTGGAAAACTTAGCAGAAACAAATCTCCACTGCTGTACCCACCTCATACTCAGAGAATGTGGGCCATTTTCTACTATTAGTAACACATCCAGAACAAGATTCTGTAGTGCCCTTCATAATTAGCTCTTATTTTTCCCTAGTGTTACACTGGAGTTTCCCCCAAAAGCTAAGGAGGTATAGAAAACTGTGAAGAATCAAAGCAATTGAGAACAGCAATTACAATGGAAGAGTAAATAGTACCACAAATGGAATTTTCCATTAGCAATCACACTAGTGTTTGGAGATCAGGGTGCAGTATGTTAAACATGATTTCAACATGATAATTTGTCACTGACATACAGGTTTTATGGAACCACATTACAATTTTTCCCTCTTACAATAATGGGAAAGGATTCCCTATTAGCATTTGAATGCAGAATGTGTCATTTTCACAAACAGATTATTGACAATAAGTGGATAGGTGATTCAAGACAGTGAAGCCAGGTGTGCTAACAAACAAGGCCAGTGCAGCTAAAGTACAGCGAGGCACAGGGAGAGGGACACAGGGTGTCCAAGAAGTAAGTAGAAGGCAGACTCTGTACACTGCAGTGCCTTAGATGGTATGATAAGGACACTGGATTAAATTCTGAGTGAGATGGGAAGCAAATGGTAGGTTTTGGGCAGAGGTGTGTGCTACAATCTGACCTGCATTTTTAAATGGTCCCTCCAGCTACTGTATGGAAAACAGACCATAGGGGCCAAAAGTGAAAATAGAGATACCAACTAGAAAACTACTGCAACTGACCAGTCAAGAGCTGATGCAGGCCTGAAACAGGGGGTGGTTGGAGAGTCAGTAAGAAGTGGGAAGATTCTTGATGTATTCTTAGAGTTGACCCGATGTGAAAGAAAAGGGTCAAGGACAACTCAAAGGCTTTAGGGTTGAGCAACTAGAAAAATGGAATTATTAACTGTAGAGAGGCTGACTGACAGAACAGACATGGGAAGTAAGAATTTGTTTGAGGCAAGTTAAGTTTAAGATTTCAGGTGCATATATGAACCTAGAATTAGGAGAGGAAAAACTACTACAGATGAAATTGAACGAAAGTTAGAAAGTTAAATGAAGTCCAAGGACTAAAGAGTGGGACACAATCACTCCATCATTTCAGATTAGGTTGAACAGCAATGAACAAAGGAGACAAGTGAACAGTCACTGAGGTAGAAGAAAAAAGCACAGAAGTAGTATCCTCGAAATCAAGTTTAAAAAGCATTTCAAGGAGAGTGATTGCTTGTGTTAAATAATGCTGAAAGGTCTGGGAAGAGGAATCCTGATAACTGACCACAGGCTCTGGCAACATGCAGATCACTGTTCACCTGACAAAAGCAGTTTCTGTAGGGTGGGATGGAGGTAACAAGATGGCAGATGGCTGAAATGTTCCAAGAGAGAGGAAGAGGAAATAAGGAACATAAAAGACTCTCTTCTGTAAAGCACAGTTGTGAAATGGGCCAGTAGAAATGGGAGGTATCTTAGCATGTGTATATGTTGGTGGAAATGATGGAGGAGAAGAAAAATTGATAATATAGCAGGGGGAGGGGAGGTTATGTGCAGGAGCCTTCTTTGGAGTAGTTAAGAAGATGGGATCTAGGGCACAAGGAGATGGCCTTAGATGAGGCAAAGGTAGTTCACAAGGAAGGAAAGCAGCAAATAAAGTTACAGCTGCACATAGGCTGGTAGATTTGGTAGGTAGAGGATATCCAAGTTCTCTTCTGATTGCTTCAGCAGCATCAGTAACATATGAAGCAAAATCACCAATAACATAGGAAACAAAACAGCTTTGAATAGAAATGGAAAGGAGGAGGTACTGGATGTTTCAGAAGAGAGTAGCAAGATGTGAAATGCTTATTCCAAAGAGAGGTACAGTGGAAAGCTACGGTAACTTAGCAGACTGCTCAATCGTATTGACAGCTCACTGAAGGTTAGTGACCATGTGTCTAAAATAAGACCAGTCAATCTGACTGTTTTTCTCCAACTTCCTCATCTATTCCTCATGAGTGCAGGTACAGAGAAGCTAAAAGTAGTATTTAACCAAGAATGGAATCTTTTTCCAAGGTATGTATGACAGAAGGAGAGAATGCTAGGGAAAAATAAAAGGGTAAATCATGGAATCGAAGCTAATTGGAGTCAGACTACTGAAGGGAGCAAGCTAGAAATGTGGCAGGTAGTGGGAAGAGTCCAATACCTACTGTAAAGATTTTAAAGGGTGTGCAGTTATTTGTAATGACAAGATATAGGCTACAATCATGGGGTAGACAGATGAAGTAGGTGGGAGAACAAGATCCCTGGATGTAAGGAGGTCATGAAACTGACAGGTCAAGGTATTAGACTGTCTTCATGTACTTTAAGTTCATCAAGAAAAATATCTGAAAGAGTGGGAGACAGGGAGGGAGAGACAGAGACTGAAGAAACTTTTTAATTTTATGTTTAGAAGCAATATTGTAATTTATTCTCACTGACCACTAGAAACATTTGAGTATTCTTCCCTTCAGGAATAGCATCATTTCAATA